GCTTTTCAGTCTAAAGTGGCATATATCTTCCGCAACAATGTATATATCATGTATATATAGTTATATACATGTGTATATACGTGCATTCGGACCTATCTATACTTGCATTGATTGGAGAATTCTTAAAAACATTATTGCATACTTTCATAAAATGTATCATATATGCGGCAATATATACAGCTAATTTAGCTCGGCATCTATACAGGGTGTCCCATTTAACCTGACAAATCGTAATATCTGGAAAACTACATGTCGGATAAAAAAAATGGGTAATGAAATTTGTTCGTCTCGAAGGGGACATCCAATGATATCAAACTCGACCTCCCACCCCACTCCCGGGGGTGGGGGTGGGGGACAACTTTAAAATCTTAAATGGGAATTCCCATTTTTTATTGCAGATTCGGATTCTACGCCACAAAATACGTAAGTTTCGTCCGAAACTTTTTTTTTATTCGTGATAGATGGCGCTGTAATCGCAAAAAATTAGATTTTCTGCAATTCTCCAGAAATGATGATTGGATTGAAAAATAAAAAAATACCTGTTCAATATTTTTAAAAATATTTTTAAAAAACATAATAACAGTTATTCCCCCCATCCCCTCGGGATAGGGTGGGTGGTAACGTTCAAATCTCAAATGAGAACCTACATTTTTCATTGCAGAATTAGATTTTACGTGAAGTTTTTATGGAAACAATTTTTTTCATTCGTGATAGATAGCGTTGAATTTTTCCGAGAAACTACTTTTAGCGTTACCCAGGAACAACGACGAGGACGTAGAAGCTTTTTATTCCCTTCGGGGTGTTTGTTTTAGGTGACCTCTCACCATCGGGGTGATTTTGCATAATTAATTTGTTAGTGGCATCTCTCCATCGTCCGCGCCCATAGAACTTAAGAGACGATCATTATTAGACACTTATCTTTCTAATCAGGAGAGGTGCTTAATCAATTTTTGAAGAGTGTTCCATGCCACTATCATTCTCTTCTGACTTTGCGTCATGGATAATGTAACTGTGTAAGAAAAAATTGAAATGATTTTCATTTATGGCGAATGTAGGAGAAATTTTGACGATGCTGTCAATATGTATGCTGAACGTTTTCCTGAAAGAATACGATCACGTTCTTCTTTCGTTAGAGTTGTTACACAGTTTTGTACTGTTGGAAGTGTACAACTGAAGAAAAGAACGCGTAAAGCTAAAACAAGCACCCCGATGGTAAGAGGCGAAGGGACTCACCTAAAACAAGCACCCCGATGGTGAGAGGCGAGGAAACTCACCTAAACAAACACCCCAATTGTGAGAGGCGAGGGGGCTCACCTAAAACAAGCACCCTGAAGGGAACAGAAAGCTACTACGTCCTCGTCGTTGTTCCTGAGTAACGCTAAAAGTAGTTTCTCGGAAAAATTCAACGCTATCTATCACGAATGAAAAAAATTGTTTCCATAAGAACTTCACGTATAATCTAATTCTGCAATGAAAAATGTGGGTTCTCATTTGAGATTTGAACGTTACCACTCACCCTACCCCGATGGGAATGGGAGGGAATAACTGTTATTATGTTTTTTAAAAATATTTTTAAAAATATTGAACAGGTATTTTTTTATTTTTCAATCCAATCATCATTTCTGGAGAATTGCAGAAAATCTAATTTTTTGCGATTACAGCGCCATCTATCACGAATAAAAAAAAAGTTTCGGACGAAACTTACGTATTTTGTGGCGTAGAATCCGAATCTGCAATAAAAAATGGGAATTCCCATTTAAGATTTTAAAGTTGCCCCCCACCCCCACCCCTCGGGAGTGGAGAATGGGAGGTCGAGCTTTGATATCATTGGATGTCCCCCTTCGAAAGGCGAACAAATTTTATTACCCACTTTTTTTGAATCCGATATGTAGTTTTCCAGATATTACGATTTGTCAGGTTAAACGGGACACCCTGTATATTAAAAATTACTACTCGATTTAATTAAACAACCTATAGATTGACCTATAGAAACAATAGACTGCGCTGCATTTCTATTGCAAATGCAAAACGATGCTGTCAGAGTCTGTTAGCAAATTCTGCACGCTTTCTGACGCCGGTATACTAATTTTAACTTATAAATAATTTTAGTTTTTTACTTATAACTAATTTTTAAAAGGAAAAGGTATACGAGGAATTAGTAGAAATTTATGACACGCAAGATCCAAAAACCGTGCCTGTCAAGTTGAAGATTTACAGCATATGAATTACTTGGAACGCGTTATCAAGGAAACACTGAGACTCTTTCCCGTTGGGCCTATTATAGCACGACGACTTGATGAAAATTTACAAATAGGTTTGCTTATAAATATAGTAGTGCTTATAAGTGTAGTAACTGCTGTAGTGAAATATTATGTGTTTACCTACATTGTATACAATTGTATGTGTTTGGATGTCCAATGATGATATTGCACTGCACAATGAAATATATATTTCTTTAAGTTAACTATTGAATATTTCATTACAATAACATTTATTTTTATAAAAACAATGTTGCAGGAGAATATATTTTGCCGGAAGGCGCTGAAGTTGGCATAGGAATAATATATATGCATCGAAATGAAAAGTATTGGCTAAATGCATTGACGTTCGATCCAGATCGATTTCTCCCGGAGAACATGAAGAATATTCATCCTTATTGTTACATACCTTTTAGTAATGGTCCAAGAAACTGTATAGGTAGATATAAATGATTTGAAAGCTGCTGTGGCGGAACATACGTTTAATGGATAAAATTACAGGCTCAAGGTATGAATGATGTCTATGAAAGTACTCATTTCAACTTTATTACGTACATTCATATTAAAAGTGGACAAAAGGATGGAAATAAATGAAATAGAGTTGAAGGTAGAAATGATGTTAGCATCCCGTAAGCCTTTAAAAGTCAGAATTGAAAAGAGGAATTAACGGCACAATAATGTAAAAACGTGTACGCAGTGGAAAATAGGAATTATTTTATTAATATAATTAAGAATAATAATTTGTTGTTATTTTTAAGTAAATTGGTGAATGTATAATATTACAATATTATGTATATTATTACAATATGTATTACTATTACAAAATATATAAAAGCAAACAAATTAAAACATGGAGCGCAAAGGACTAATGTGGGGAAATCAATTACATTCGAAATTTTTTTTCAATACGGTGAAAAAGGCGATGTTTTAATATAATATGTGTTCACAGTTTTCACGGTATTAATGGTTTCACGGAGTATTAATGGTTTTCAATCAAATATTTATTTACATGTTTCACATAATAAGTACATTAAATTTCAAACACATTCTTCATCTGAAACATGTCTCATAAATAAACTTTGAATTTCGACGTGGATCTAATTCAATTCATTAATGTACTTTTTAATGACGTCCAGTTGTAACTTTCTAAAAATTTGATGATGTAAGTGTTAGATTGTTTGGTTTTCTAACATGAATAACGACATTATTAATGACACTATTCAAATAATATTTGAAAACAAATAATAAAAAATAAACAAGAAACATAAACATATTTATCATTAATTATATAGTATTATAACAAAAATATAGTTATATTTAACAAATGTTTATTTTTGATTTTTATTCTTCTTCATTATTCTATTACTTCATACTTATATACTTAAAATTTAATTCCGTTCCAATTTTCTCCTTTACATAATATTAGGTGTACAAATGAATAATCCAAATTATTTTAAGCAGTTATGAAATCAATTTTAAATTGAATAGATTTTCCCGCTCTTTTGTGATTATGCAATGTTGACATATAGCTATTAAAAAGAACATATAGTTTGGCGAAAGGCTCAACATAACCTTCAAAAGTATTCAGTTCAGTACAGTCGAAATGGCAACAGATAAGGTGCATATCCGACACTGCATTCTTTATGAATTCCAACAATGAAAAAATGCTGCAAGAGCGTGCGAATCAATTTGTTCCTTTCTCGGCGAAGGTGTTGTGTCGTACGATGTGTGCGCATTTTAGTTTAAGCGGTTTAAAAGCGGTAATTTCAGTCTAATCGACAAACAACGCCCTGGAGGCCCTCCGAAGTGCGATAATGATGATTTGGAACTGCTCGCTGAGAATTCGGCACAAACACAAAAGGAGCTTGCAAAACAGTTGGAAGTAACGCAGCAAACGATTTACAAACGCCTACATGAGATGGGAAAGATCCAGAAAGAAGGAAAATAGGTTCCGCATGAACTCACTGAAACCAACAAAAATTAACGAGTAGCAGCGTGTCTTTCTCTTCTTAATAAGCAGCGTCGAAAGTCTTTCTTGTGGAAAATCGTTACGGGCAATGAGAAATGGATACTCTATGACAATCCGAAACGCAGAAAGTCATGGGTAAATCCCGGCAAATCATCAAAATCGGTCACAAAACCCAATCGCTTCGGAAAGAAGGTTCTTCTCTGCATTTGGTAGGATATCAAGGGCATTATTATGAGTTGTTGGAACCAAATGAAACCCGGCAGTTACTGCGGACTGCTACCAACGTCAATTAATCTGCTTGAGTCAAGAATTGGAACGAAAACGCCCGTATACTGACAAAGGAAAACGTGAAATTATTGCATGACAACGCCTGGCCACACATTGCTTCCAATACAAAAGACACCATAATGAGTCTTAGCTGGGACGTCTTGCAGCACGGCCGGCATATTCACCAGACATTGCTCCATCCGATTATCACTTGTTCCGATCGATGCAACACGCCTTGTCCGATATGCACTTCCAATCAGTGGATGAGATCCGAAAATGGCTTGACGACTTTATCATGTCCAAAGACATAACATTTTTCCGAGATGGAATTCATCAGCTGCCTGAAAGATGACTTAAAGTTATAGAAAGCAACGGCGAATACTTTGATTAAACAATTTAATTTACTTTCTTTTAAAATAAACCTTGAATGTAGCTGAAAAATTGGATTATTCATTTGTACACCTAATATATTATGTAACAACAGACATTCACGACAGAATTTTTTGTATTTATGTTATTTGATATTAAATAGTGAATTTGGATTCTCCGCTGAAATGTACTTTAAGAAGTCGAAACTGTTCTGAGGTGGAGTTCGAAGTGAAAAATATCGATTGATACATGGCCAAAAATTCATATACACCGAGAATTCACACTCGATAACGATATAGGAGGAGGAAAGTTAGGACGATACATCCGCTAACGTGCCAACTTCTGTAGCTCCGAGATCTCTGGGATAATAAAAACCCTGGTCTTTTGATATCATCCTACCATGGACTTTTATTTTTAGTTCGGCTACAACATAGGCTGACGAGCTCACTCTGCCCGCGCTGTACGGGACTTTTGGGTCACACGAATGTAATTCTCCGGTCCTTGGTAAACCAGAACGCAGCTGCCCATTTTGGAATGGACACTTGTTTTTAATTTTCTTATCCTCCATTTCTTTACTTTGGATGCTAATAATTATAATAGTTTTTGTTATTAGTAATATAATAAAAATATTTTCTCAAGTTCCTTGTACTCATATATGAATCAATTGTCAATAATAATTTCTTTCAAAACGTAAAATTAATCTTCAGCCTGTTATCAGCACAATATTCTTTTGGTCAGGCCTAGTACAATAGAATCAGGTAGGACTCATAAGGAAATACAAGGAAGTGTCTCCCTCCGATTTTGATGAGCTTGAAATATATTGTAATTTAGACCAAAATAAGGAACATGAATTTTTTTATATCCAATTGGTCTTTTAAGGGGCGAAATATGCCTTTAAAAAAATCGGTACTTTTCTTTCAGAGCATGTACTATCAAGAGTATAAAAGATAGCAAAATATTTTCTGTACAAATAGCTGTATGATCAGATCATATGTACTTCATTTCTGTAAAATCTCAAATTTGTCAAAATTTTTTATTTTTCAAAACTCCCTTGTTAGTCTACATTTTTCTACCATAAAACCTATCAAGTCCTTTGTACTTTCCTAGTATTATATATTATTCTCTCTCAAATTTTCCCTCAAATTATTGTCTTTTAACATGTTCCGTGCTACGTGCACGTATACTACCAGCGTACAGTGGGCCGAAACCAGTCAGAAGCTTAACAAAAATCAAGACTTCATATAGATAAGAAAATATGTTTTTATAAAGAGTTTTCGAGATCGCTGAATTCTACTTTGATTTAAAAAATATCCGTTGAATAATAAAAGAAATAATAATAATATTAATAATAGCTTGTTCTTGAACAGCTGAAAAAAATTTGCTGTAAATTCGTCAGAATCAGCTCTGGCCATACTCAGTAATTGGCGTCGCCTTTCCTCGTTGCTCTCAAAATCCTGAAAACTTAGTCTCGTTTCAAGGGAATTGATTTTTATGAAGTGTCGGATAAATAAAAAAACAAGATTTTTTAATAATATATCCTTTATTTGTTGAAAAACGTTAATAATTGTATTTGCTTAGCCGTTCATCCTATATGTCATACCATTTTCTTAGCTATTATGTTATTTTTAAAAACTCACGCGTCGCGCGCGTTCGCCTCTTGTTGTTTACGTTGTCCCTCGCCGCGCGCGCTCGCCTACCGTCACTCGCTGACTCCGCCTGTATCAAATGTCTACGTGCTTACTGCGGTCGCCCTCCGCTCTCTACGCGCTCGTTGGCTCACATGTTTTAATTAATAACTCGATAACTATTGGCAATTTGACATTATGGTACATGACTTTTCTTCTCGGCTACACCCAATCCATCTCCAACTTTCGTCTGCATGATCAGCTATCAAACATCCTGTATATATATATATATAAGCGACTGTACGGGGCAACAGCAGGTATCTGTTAACTGTTAACTCCTACAAGTAACTGTAGGAACCATTAAAGTTGTTGTAATATTAGAAATTTATTGATGAATTTATTTTTATTTCTTATATTTTAGGATTTTGTAAATATATATGTATATATATATATATATATATACATATATATATACAGGATGTCCCATTTTAATGTCCCACTCCAAATAACTTTTTTATTTTTGATTGTAGAAAATAATATTTCAGACAAAAGTTATATGGTTTTGAGGAGGGCATAAGATGATGCCATTAGTTTGACACTGAATAGTTGTTTGAAGGTCTTGTGAAGGTCATCTTCAATTTCTTAAATAGAACTATCTACTTTTCATTACATATTCTTCTAGCTTACATCGAGAGCTTTCCAAAACCCTATAATTAAATACCTTTTCGTTAAATACTTTTTAAGTTATAAGGCAAAATCGAAAGCATGATCCGACCGGTCAAGGCAAGATCGAAAGCAAGTGTCATTTTCAGCCTAAAATTCAAAAAATCAATTTCTTGGATTTTTGAACTTTCGGTCCAATTTTGACTATGACAACCACGTTTCGACCCGAAGTATACTCCATTACCCAAGTATACCCATTACTCAAGTATACTCCATACGCACGTTAAAGAGCATCGATATTTTCTTGGCGAATGTAATGTTTTGAGCATTGTTACGAAAATTTTTTAGTAATCCTGTAATTATGGCTGATTATCCGCTAAACGAAATAGTCGACATGATTCGTATTTTGGGTAAGGCTGGAAATAATTACAGTGCAGCGGAAAGGCTGTATGCTAAAAGGTATCCTAACAGACGTCATCCGTGTAGAAAGACAATAAGAAAACTCACCGAGAGGACACAGCAGGGCAGTTTAAAAAGGATACGACAAAAATCTGGATCAAGTGAGGCAAATTCATTGGTTGTCTTGAGTACCGCTGTATTGAATCCCCAAATTTCCATCAGACAA